TCTTGATTGTCAACTATCTTCACCTCCATCAAGTACTAAAATCTGACTTCCTGTCACTGTACAATATTGATCTCTTTCTTATGACCTGTAGCATACTTTACGCCTAATGGCCATCGCTATACCCACAGTATTCTCCACGTAGTCTGTTTTAACATCTATTAGTCAATTTTAAAGTACATAATTAAGAATATTCTAAGACCTTACTGGCTCATCTTCAAGATACGCAATCCAACACAACAGAAAAGAAGAACAAACTTTACTTTTTATTTCTATTAATTTTTCCACTATGAAATTAATTAAATTAATTATGATTTATGGCCTAGACTTTTTTTATATCCTTCATCTTCGTAAGCATCTCTTTTATCCAGTCCTCAGGTTCATAACAGCTTTCTCTGACCTTTTTAAATTTCTTATTCCAAGTTTTCAAGGGTTGCATACTTTTTAACTAAAGGAAGAAAAATTCGATCTGTAGAATATGCTAAGAAGATGAAGTTTTGTGTAAGGCAGTCTCGGTGTTTAACTCTTTTATACTTTTCTTATATATATAACTTAATTTTACTGATACTCAGCAAATGCCAGCAAACATCTAACTATGCATTAGGTACTCTGTTGCTGTATCTAGCAGTCACTGGAAGGTATGCAGGCAGCATAAGTTAGTGCAAAGTTGGCAAAACACTGTAACAAACTGCAGTGCAGAAATTCATCAGGCCTACAAAGAGCAATGGTGGCCTACCACTGCCACCTCTGGGAAGTTGTTTTTTTAAAAACAAAAAGCACTACAGAACAACAACCACAAAAATTCCAGAAAGACCCAGAATCACCTACAGCCAAGAACCACAACAATAACTGGTGGCAAAAGCTTTAAGGTTGATTGTTGAAACATCTGAAATGCAACTAACTCTAAAGCAGTCAAATCAGCTACAATGGAAGTGTAATTCACAGTCACGTAGCAGGTAGACCGAGAACAGGTCACTGGCTCCAGCCACCAAAAGACTTTCTTCCTCTCTTCTATGCCAAACTCTAAACTATCCCAAATCAAAACCATGTAACTCTTCCTCTTATTTTTTTTTTTCCCCTCAAAGTGTCCATCTTTTTAAAAGTCCAAAGTGACATGTACAAACATACATACACTCTTTCTGGCAGGCTTGATTCATGCTACACCAAGTTTTTCAGTTAAGAACTTGTAAGATAAATCTATTAGAGAAATGGACCACAAGGAAATGCAACTTTTTTTGGTATTAATTCCTCTTTTAATGACCAGTCTCTCCATTAATACCTTCTGCTTTCATGAGGTTTTTTGTGTTGTGGTTTTTTTTTTTTTGGTGTTTTTTTGTTTATTTATTTATTTATTTTACACATTAGTAGAGTTATTCTAATCAAGCAACTTCCATTCCTCATCTATACTATCTCATTTATCTGGTGTCATGGGATGATATTATGTTATGTTGAGTGATTGTTTTCAAATGCCCATATGACTAACACAGTATTCACTTGAATATCTCTACGAGATCCATATGACTCTTGTTTATGAATGTACTACATACTTGGTGTGCTCAGACTTAGTAACTTACCCTCATAAAATCCTTCTATGATATAGAAATATTATCAACATTTTACAAACAGGGAATGGAGGAATGGAACAGAAAAAGATCCAGTTTATTAAGGTATCTAAATGCTTAAGGATGACTATTGGGATTTTCAAGGGTGCTCTGACATATAACTTATTGAACTACTTGAAGATTTTTCACTGAATGCCTAATTTGTATTTTTAGTTTTCTGAAAACCTTTAAAATCTGACTCACCCATGCCACTCTTTAAATCCAGTGGACCAGCATGTTAAACCTGGAACTCATTAGCCCTTAAACTTATGCTCCAAGCACTGTGCGGTAATTCCCATAATAGGGAAAATTACATGAAAAATAGAGATGCTGTGCATATCACAAGCATCCAGTCCCCTCCTGTCCCCCTCCTTTCTGCCCTCCCAGGCTGAGTCGCACACCAACTACTCAGAGAGTGGGGAGCCACACAGCCAACTGCATCAGATGTCAGCCAAGAAACGAGTGGATCTCCAGGGATCTGGCTGCTCAGCGCTGGGACTGAGGGGAGACAGGAGGTTGAGCTTGTAGACCAACCCTAATATCAGGCTCAGCAACCCCTCAGCTCACTCTCTCCCTCAATTAGGGTTTGATTTTTCCAATAACTAGTGCACCTGTACAGCCCCCCTACCGCTCACGTAACAGAGCCAACATACACCAATAGCTCAAACCAAATGTGCTGTAAAATCATCTGTATCCACCATGTAGTTGGGTTTAGGCAGGTACCCACTTTATTGCAAAAAACATCTATAATCATGGGAAAATGCTTTAATTCCTGTATAAAAGCTAATCATGTATGTTTTCTAGCTGCACTATTCTCAACTCTAACAAAGTTGTACACGTTTTTAGATAGTTCTTTTGGCTGGCCTAATAGGAAGTTACTCAGTTTGACTGAGGCACATCATCTTTACATGGGAGGAGGGAAGTTGGAACAAGGATGGCTTCATCTTTTGCTAATTCTGCCAAGAAGATGCTGTCTTTCAGCACAGGTTTTCTTTGCACCCATATGTTAGACCACTAGTGGCTGGAAAGTGAATGGATCAGCAACCACGGCTTTTTAATGCCGTTTCACTTCTGTTGAACCAATGAAACTCACTATGTAAATCAAACTGGATTTAATCAATGTACAACTCTTTGACTGTGAATTGCATTACTTCTTTTTAGAAGTCATGTACACTGTCTTCTTATAGCCTGTACCATCACATCCAAGGACCAGCTAAACAAACCACATGGGCAGCCAGTTTACTGGGATAGTATATATATTTTAATCAAATAAATATAAGACGAGGTAAATTAATACATTCCTGACATTGTTAACCTACAGAAGTGGTTTCCAAGTCAGGGCTTATGGATAACATGTTGCCCACTAGACCCTCTGAGACTGGCTGCAGCTGCAAAAAATAAAAAAGTTAAAACTGAGGCCAACAGGAAGATGCTGCCTGCAGCATAATTGCTCACTGTTGCTGCACATTGGCTGGCGAAGGTTAGAGACCGCTGCTCTGTGTAATCGAGCAGGTTTGCAACAATAGCAGAAGGCTATTGTATAATAATGGTTTAAGCAAAACAGGTAAAAATAAATTCAGATTTTATTTTTTATATATCTTTAGGTAGAGGTGATAAATTTTTACAGAGCATACCGTGTTTTAAAAATGCTCCCAAGCAGATGCCATGTACTCTTTTCGCCTGAGGCTGATAGAAAAAAAGCAGGTAGCTTCTGAAAGAAATCTGAAAAGCTGTTATCCAAGTAGCTGAGGTTGAAGTCTTCATATGCATTCCACATAATTTAGTATTCAAAGTGAGCACTGATTTAAGTAGACATTTTTGGAAGCATCACCTGATATACAAATATGTGATTGATCCCTTGGTAAACGAAAATTACAGAAAATCACAGGTGTCTGTCACAAAAATTACTGCTTATATGAACAAAGCAATTAAATCTGCCTATATGAACAATTAAATTTGCCTAATTTTAAAGAATCCTTTAAAACATTGCATGAATCACTTTAACTTGAATATTTTTAAGTGAGTGAAAAGAAAGAATAGCTGCAAATAGCTTTGGATATAAGCAAATTGAATGTCGGAAAATTCCGTATTCATTTATTGTGATAACAGATCTTTTTTTTCCCCCATTTTTTTTTCTTAGTTTTTCTCGTTTCCCCCAGGCCTTTCAGCATATCCAGGCATTTGTCAGTAAGTTGCACTCTGAATGTTACTTCAGACTCACCAAATTATAGAAAAATATTTAAGAACAGAGTGTCATTAAACTGCCCTACGTAAATGAACTACTTTATTCCAAAGAATATTAAAGAAATGAATACTGTGCTGTGATGATCAGCTGATCTAACAGCAAGGCTTTTCAGCACTGCAAACATTTATCAACTTCTCTTTTAACTCTCTAAATTTCTCCTCATACTGAGCAAACTCAACTCGATGGTGTGAAAATAAATAAATATAATAAACTCTCACTTCACACTGCAATTTGCCTTTCCCTTATGGCCAGAGATGTACAGAACATCAGCAATTTTTCAACCTTTTTGTGCAGCTGGAGCTCAGTTTCCTTTTTTAAAAGCCTCCTTAAAGTTTTTAAGTCAGTGTTATCCCCAGATATGAAAAGGCAACCATAATCCAGACACACAGACACAAACCCACTCAGTGCAGATCTTCTTAGACCCACAACCCCCACGTCTGCTACAGAAATGCAAGAAATAGTCTTTTTTCGCTTGTGAAATACAGAACTGGAAAGTTAGGTTAAATAGTGTTGCATTTAAACTGAGCCACGACACCCCCCGCCCTCTTTACAATTAAACCCAGCGCGCCGGGGCGGGCCCGAGGAGCACAACCCCCCCCGGGCTTGTGCCGCGGCAGCGAGCGGCGGAGGAGGCGCGGCCGGGCCGGGGGCTCCGAGCCGCGCCGGGGCAAGCGGCGGCGGGGCACGCTGGCCAGTCGAGGCAGAAAAGTTGCCCGCCAGCCCGCCCGGCCCCCCCCGCCGCCGGCACTGGGGCGGCGACACCCGTGTCCCCCGCGGGGAGAGCTGCCCCACGCGGGGCTGGCGTCCCCGCCACCCGCCTGCAACTGAGCCCCGGCAGCACCGGGCGCAGCGGCGGGCAGCCCAGCCCGGACCAGCCCCCTCCCCCGGCGGCACCGGGGCGAATCCCCTCCAGCCGCGGGCTCCTGGGTGCGCACCCTCCCCAGCACACACACACACCTCCCCCCCCCCCCCCCCCCAAATTCTTCCCTCCGCGGCCGCTCGCACCCCGGGGTAGCCCCCGCCGTGCCGGCAGGCCTCGCCCCGCGGCGCCCGGCCTCCGAGGGATGCTCGGGGATGTTCACCCTCCTCCTATAGCCTGGGGACGGCGGAGGCCGCCGGTGCCCAGCCCGCAGCCCTAACGGCGGCGGCGGCCGTACCTGAGTCGGTGAGGCGGGGCCGGGCTCTGTCCCGCAGGTAGTAGATGAAATCCCGGCAGTTCTCGTTCTCCACCGCCCCGACGGAGCACAGCTCGGCCAGCAGCTGCAGCGCTTTCTGGCAAATCTCGTCCTCCCTGTCGCCGGGCATCGCCCCCCAGCATCCTCGGCAGCGGAGCGGAGCCCTGCGGTCAGGCGCCGCGCCGCTGCCCGCCGCCCGCCTGCAGCCGCCCGCGCCGCCGGGCCGCCGCCCGCATCCCCAGCCCCGCCGGGCCGGGCCGGGCCGGGCCGCCCGCCGCTCCCCCCGCTCCGCCGCTGCCTCCTGCGCGCCGCTCCCGGGGGCGGGGGGGGGGGGGGTCCCACCAGTTGAATGCGAGGGCGGGGAGGGCCGGCGCCGCCACCGCCCAGCCGCGCTGGCGCAGCCCTCCCCCGCGGCGGGAGCGGGCGGGGGCCGGTCGCGCCCCGGGGGCGCCGCGCCTCGGCCCGCCCGGGCTGGCCGCCGCGCCCCGGCCTGCCTCCCGCCCGGGGGGACCCGAGCCGAGCTGCTCGGCCGTGGCTGAGAACAGGCGAGGATGACAACTTTGAGAAGCGGCGCAGGGCTTGGGGAAGGAGGGTCCTGAACGCAGGTCCTGATGGGCAGCTCCTCGCCCTCCCTCTCTCCATCACTGTCCGGGCCCAAGCCTGCTCTTTGCCGGTCGGCGTTTAATGTGAACAGTTTGTTAAATACCGGGCGCTTTTTGTGTCTCACTGCCTACTCCAGAAATTATTCCATTCACTCTGCTAATTGTCTTTAAATTGCTCCCTATGAATAACGCATGCCCCCACTGTCGGGATCCTAGCGGAGGGGAAAATCTTAGAAATTCACTCTGAACAGAATGGCGTTCTTCAGCGGGATCATGTTTTGGTCTGGGCGATGGGTTAGAAAGAGTTAAAGCACCGATGCGAAATCTTAGGCACCCGAGAACCGGCCATAGCCTGAGGGGAAGGCAGGAGAGCCCTCGCTGGAGGGGGTGGAGGCTGAGAAGCCGTCTGCCATTAAGCATGTTTATCCTGACAAGTAGGAGATTTGTAAGGTGCTGCTTCGCTTTCTGGATTTGTAGGCAGGGAGGCTGATGGGTGTCATGAGGGGAAAAGCTGAGAACGGGCTGCTCCATTTAACTTAATTTTTTTTTCTCTCTCTCTCCCTTTTATAATAGTTTAAGCAAATATCAGAGGCCATGATGATCTTGGAAAGTTCAGAGTGTGGATGTTCAGCCTACTGTTTAGAGACTGGCGATATTGGTTCTAGAAATAGCGTAGACAGCAACATCTTCTAGTAGAAGCTTTTTTATTTTTTAAGGAAAGAAGTATATTGTTGAAATAAGATGTATTCTGCAAAGGGAGTGGATGTTAGCAACAAAAGTGGTTTACTAGTATAACTTGTTACCTCCTAGTGCTTTGCCAGCACTGCTTATGTCTCAAAGGCATTATTTTTTTTCCTGCCTTTTAGAAGAAAAAATATTTTTGTAAAATATGACTGCATAAGCCAGGTATAATTCCATCAGTGAACAGGCAACTCTTTCATGCTGGCTCGTTATTATTAGGAATTAATAATAGACAGTGAAATGGTATGTAGCTGTTACAGTTGTTGAGGTCATTTTTTTGAAGCCCAGAGATTTTTATGACATAAGTATGTATTTTTACATCTAAGCACGGAGAAACTTCCTACTAGTCTCAATAAATTCTGCACATATATTTATCTTGGTGCTGGAAATACCAGCATGATTGGCTTGTTTCTCCAACCATGCAGGGAGGCGGGGGAAGAGAGACAAGTCTGAAGAGGTACTGTCAGTCACAACTCTTCCTCTGAAACTAGGGATTAGGCTTTAGCTCCTCTTCCTACTTCAGAGAAGAAGGGATAAAATTTAAAGAACTTGGTAGAACTAGAGACACTAGAATTCCTTTCTGGGGAAGGACAGCTTCAAGAGGACTAGTGAATTATTTATACATATGTAAGCTCTCTAGGGGTAGAAACTTTTTCATCTGTAAAACAAAATCAAGCTCTGGCCAATGCTGGTGATATATAATAAAGAGGAGGAAAGAGAGACTACCTATCAAAGACCACTGACAGAGACATCAGTGAAGTACAGTCCAAGTAGTCCAGGCATCATATGTGACAAGATTTTGAATTACTACATGATTTGTGCACTGTGACTCATCTAGTCAGATTATTTGGCTATATTTTGGTAATTTGGCCCTGACATGGATGGCTGTGCTGTTCTATGGCTTGTACTCTGTCCAGGATAGACAAATACATCAACTGCAAAGTTAATGAATTTACTAGAGTGTGGTTTTTATCCTGTGGGACCACAAACCCAGCGCTAGCCTGGGATTCTGTCTTGCTGCAGAGTGACAGCCTGGTGTTGAAGTGGTAATTTCATTATCTTTCTCCTATAACTAAAATATCTTGCTTAATTTTTTAAAAATAGCAACATTTTGAAGGTGCTGAGATGTTTGTAATGCAGATGGTGAGAGCTGGAAACTTTTCAGTCTGGTGGAGGAAAGACCATGAAATTGTTTGGACATCACTGCTAGTAAAAAAAAGCAGCTATTCTCGAAAGCTGAGTGAGTACTAAGTGAACTGCGTAAGCAAATGCCCATGTCTCTTTCTGGAGATAACAGCACTAAATGTAATCTGCTGTGTCTCAAAGCAAATGCAACTTTTCCTTCCATGGTTGTTTGTGAAAACTGGATTATATCTGCCATTTTGTTGTCATTTATTACATGTTTCTGTTCTTGCAGGCACCCCTGGTTGTGATGAGTTTACTCTTGTGTCAGCTGCAGATTTTGCCTGTTCAGGGGATCATGTTATGTTTGAGATCCCTAGTGAATACCGTACTAATTAACTTTGGTCCTAGAAGGGCATTGCATCATGCAGTGGAACACTCCTGTTAACCTTCTCTTGAGAGTTACAACTTGTACTGACCAGAAGTCTATTTTTTTTTCTGTTTAGCTCAGAGCTGTCCTCACACAATGCATTGCACTCAGAAGTTAGGAAAAAAAAAAAAAAAAAAACAAACCACAAACAAACCCAAGCCTGCTACACACAGAGTCAGAATAAGTTCAACTGTTTGACCTACAACAGTTCTGTCATCATCAATTGACATGTTCTTCTTTCTTTTCTTGAAATAAAGCTTTCCCCCAGTGTTCTGGCAGTAACACAAGGGTTGCTTGGCAATGAAATCATCTTCAAAGCTAAGGCGTTCATGAAATGAATGCCTTTCTGGAAGAAACTAAGGCAACTTGCATCAGAATTTTTATTATGGCTATGCTGCAACCAAAACTCATCAAGTATTTATATGAAGTATTTATAATTGTTTGAATGATGTTTGCCCATAAATAGGTGGATATAGCTCATCATGTTAATACTTTTTCCTTTAACAAAAGGGAAGAGGCCATGTGTATTTCAGTAAATCAAGGAAATATGTAGAGCAGTAAACTTACTAAATGCAACATGACAAGCAAGTTTTTGTTTTGTTTTGTTTTTTCCAAAAGTCAAAGTGTCTGAACTCTGTGATTAAAGAGTAGGACAAAAAGGCAGAGATCAAGGAGGACGTTGCTCTAAAGGCAGTCACCTGAAGTCCTGCCTGGAGAAGGGAAATGACACTGTGGGATCAAAGATTGATACATCTATCAAATCTTTCTGTTACTGGCTGTGCCAGACTTTCTGCCTCACTCTCCTTCATATATGCATTTACCCTTTACCATCTGTTCCTAATGGTTATATATCTTTATGCTACTGAAAAGCAAAAAAATGCTTAGGTGAACATACAAGAAATAGGAACATGGATAACTGCTACTGAGATTTTGTGAGATGGTGCTTTTCTGGGCAGCTTCATTCTTGGGATGCATTAGTTATTCTTCACAGGAGGTTTTAGGAATGCTTTTAACAGGGAGGGTAGTTAGAAAATAGGTATGCCCTCATTTGGGTTTTTTACTCATCATTGACTGCTAGAGGTCATACAGAAACAGGTTAGCATTAACCAAAGAGAAGGTGACATCATTTTGAGAATGTTATAAAACTTTGATAGCTGTTCTTGGGTACAGCTAATAATACGGAGTCTTTTAAAGATTTTGAGATCTATACTAAATACTGTGGTGAAGGAACATGAGAAGGGATGGCAGTGTATTTTCATTATGGTATTTATAAAATTTTAAGGCTTTTTATGTGGAATCACATGTCATTTATTGACGTCTGTTCAGATTTTTAAAACATAATGCATAGCCCCAGTGTTAAACATTGGACAGTACAAAGCTTTGTTCTTTTCTCTGCAGGAGGCCTGTAAGCTGTTCCTATGTTAGAATTAGTAAATTATCGTTATGGGGCTTTCCGAATAATAGTAGGTAGGTTGCTTTCTCACAGCAGGTCCTGAAGGAAGAGCAAAATGTCTATCCTGCACTGAGCAGAAAAAAAAGTATGTCTAATCTCTTAGATACCATCAAGTGTCACTAGAAGCCATAGTGTATTAGAGGATTAGGAATATGCATCTGACAGCTAATGTCCTGATACAGCTGGGGCTCAGCTACATTTTATGAAGTGGGTGGAAGGGGTATAGTTAATGAATGAGTTGTTTGAATTAAGGTTATGAGAAAAAGCAATACAGCTACCTTAAGTCTACTGTAGCTCATCAGTGGGATTTTTTTTTTGGGGGGGGAGGGTTGTTTCATTGTTTTTCTTCCTTTTGTTACCATTGGACAAAGCCTTACTGCCTAGAGAAGAGAAACAGATGCAAGCTCAAAGCAGAAGACACTGCCCAGAAGACTGTAAACAGTGTAACATGAATACCAGCTATTTCAGATGATGGATCACTTTCACAACCTCTTTATAGCAGATAACCATTTTTTTCTTGATCTTCATACACCTCACGTTGTTAATAGGTGCTGTAGCTTTTCATCTGCTATTTTTATCTATCTTAAGATAGCTTCCTCAAAGCTAGAGAAAGAGAGAGGAAGACACCTCTTCTGATCTGACTTTAATTCTAATATGACAATCTCTTCCTTGACAGCTTTTGCAAACACTACTGGGAAAAAAAAAGTACTGAATAATTCAGTCTTGAGAGTGAATTGAGCTTGAGGAGAACTGTTGAATTTCCAAGTTTGTGGTCTATGGTTTTTGTTATTGACTGTTCATGTGGGTTTAAAGTCCTGTCTCCACAGTCAGTGTTTTTTATCTCCCCTTTGGATGCTGCAATTTTGTCTAGCTTCCCATCTCTTAATGGCAGCTCTCTGATCT